AAGAGCGTCCTGACGGTGATCCTGGAGCCCAGCAGCACTTACAGCTGCAGACTGAGCCAGCCGCTGCTGGGAGAAGAAGCACAGGCGTCTGTCACCATCAGCGGTGAGTGCTGAGAACACTTCTGAGACAGCACCACTCACATACTGCTACTGTCGTCAGTCACCATACATTTTTACATTTTCTGTTTTCATTATAAGTTTAGTAAAGTAAAACTAAAGTAAAGTAATTTTTGGTGCATTTATTTTCAATAGATAGATAGATAGTTTTTATTAATTTTTATTTCATTTTTGTTATTTTAGTCAAGTTCAACTAAAATATTTTAGCATTTTTAAAACTTTTTTAATATATTTTTTTAAATTTCATTTTGTTTATTTTATTTTAAGTAACAATGTTTTAATGGTTTTAATTTTAGCTGTAGTTATTTTAGTGCATCAAGTTAAACTAAAATAAAATGAGAAATGTTGATACAACTTGTTGCTGAAATACAACGTTTTTTTAAATAGATATTTTTTATTTCAGTTAATGTTTATTTTATTTCAAGTACAAACATTTATTGATTTATTGATTGATTGATTGATTGATTGATTGTTTTAATTAGCTATAATAACCCTGGACCCAACCAAAGGATTATTTTCACAACTTTTTTTTTTTTTCTTCTGTTGACCTAAACATGACAGTTGTGTCATCTCACCTTCACAACTTGTCCTGTAAAACACAGAAGGCATTATTTAGTAGACTGTTCTTTTCCATTGGGCAAAAGTCATTAACTCTCACTCATCCTCACACAATCTTATCGTAGGGCCTTGACTGTTGCGATACCTAAAGTTACTCACTGTGAAAAAGAGCAGCTTGAACATTCTGCTAAATATCTAAAAAGCTTAAAGGCAAAAGCTCATATGGGTCAAATGGTCATTTCTGGGTGCACTTTCCCTTTAAAATCCTCAATATTTTTACAATCGCTCCAGACGAATCGGAAGTCAATTAAAATCTCCGCTGCGATGGCTTCCCTCTTCTATTTCTCATTGCTGCTCGCTGCCAAACCCAAACGGGGAGGAAATAATAAATTGCTCAACTATGGTCCAATAGTTTTCTCCCATTGTTAAATGAGAAAATGGATGATGATTTCACAGATTGCTTCTTTGAAATGGCCGTATGTGGATCATCCTGACTTCCAGCAAGCGTCAGAATCCATGTGTGAGCCGAGGGATCTTGTTTGATATGAAAATGCATTTGCATTTGTTTACAGCAGCTGCTGTATGCTCAACAACTTTGGTAATTAATATTGACCTAGCCGAGCTCCGTGCGGTTCGCTTGCTTGTTTTTCTCCAGCAAACAAGCGTGCAACCAGGATTCACTTTGAAACAAAACGCGCCGCATTTAGGACTCGTCAGAAATAAATAGTAAATATTTATTGCAAAACCTGAAGAGTGTTAAAAGCTTCTGATCTGTTCAAATCTAAGCTTCGTGAAGAAAAAAAAAACATCCATGAAGTTATTGAATAGGAGACAAGTCTTTTGTATCTCAACAGGAGCTCAGAACGTCCTTCTAAGTGAGACGTTTAGGCCTTTCTTTCACTGAAGAGAGGAAAATCTGTTTAGTATACAAAAGAGAGTTTTCTGGGAGAGGACGGGACTCTAACAAGCCCGTTAAAATGTCACACTTCTCTCCGAATTCCCAATGAAAAATTACAAAGTAGTGCAGACGTGCCCCGAAATGCAGAGAGAAAGAGGAGTGGAAGAAGACGTCCGTCAGGCCGTCTGTGAAGGTTCAGAAAGAGAAAATGAAGTGCATGGATGCAGTCTGAGGTCAGAGAAACTGCATCTCAATCTCAATTAGCCTCTCTGTCTGTCTGTCATTCACTTCAGCCGCTCGTTTAAGCCACTGAGGATTTATGTGTTTACGCTTTTGTATTCTGTGTAAAAACTGACGATCATGTTATCCAGCATTATTTGAGAATGATTCACATTTTAATGAAAGAACATCTGACTGTCTGTACAGAGTTCACATAGTTAGTGTTCCAAATGTTTATTTTATTATTATTATTATTTATTTTTAATAAAAAAGGAAATATAAATATGTGAAAATGTAGTGCAAAATACATGTAAATTAATACAATTATTCATATAAAATATTTAACTAAATGTTAAAAATGTTAATATATAAAACCGTTTAGGAGTAAAAAAAATAAAATACTGTCACTTTCCACTCAATCATTACCAGAGGAGGAAAAAAAAATTATATATATATTAACTAGAAATGTGTGTGAATCCTGAGAGGATCTGAGCTCTGCACAAACCCACCGTTACGTAAGGATGCTTCTCAGTTAATCTGCAGCTATTGACCTTGAGCTCGTGTAAGAAAGAGCTGCAAACACTGAGAGAAAACAAGAACACTTACAGACGGAGAGAGCAAACGATGAGCAGACCTCTGACTCCAGCGTCAGGAGCTAATGAGTTAACTTCCCGGTTTTTCTGCCTGTTTCAGAATGTGGAGGATTTCTCGCTTTCTTTCAAACAGCTGATGTCTCTGTCAGTACAATGGCCTCGCTTTAAAAGTCCTTCCACATGTCAGCAGCTCAGAGAACGACAGGTGTGTGTGTGTGTCTTGCATAACATAGAGGAATCATCGCTGTCCATCTCTCTTTGCTGCCACAGCATTCTGGGTAAAACCTGTGAGAAAAATACAGAAGGAGACAGAGGCAGAGAGAAAGGCGCGAGCGGTCAATAGACTGCCGGAGTGAGTTGGGAGGGAGCGAAACTCGGATGCTTTGAAATGTAGCCATGGTGATTATGCAGTGAATAATGTAGCCATGGCGATGTTGCTGTGGCGACTGTCTAGCATCGATGAACTGGTGCTGATATCGCAACAGAAATGGTTATGGGATGTTGCAGCAAAAATCTTCGTCTTATTCCGCGGTGTAGTTTAACATGAGGGTGAACACACACGTATTTTAAATGCACTGAAGAAAAAAAAACTGGTGTAGGACTTTGAAACAATTTTTCACTCAGAAATTGATAATAAATGTAACAAATGATTACAAAGAAACGGCAAGTAGCACTGAATTAAACAGGACATTCTGACAATTATTTGTTGTATTTTTTAAAATACTAAAATGTTTCATTTATTTATAAAATATTATTGATAAATAATGTATGTAAAATTTAAATATATAATTATAATAGTACATAATTATGTATTATTGAGATTTTCAGGGATTTCAATGGATTTACTTTGAATTTTCACTCAGAAATTGCTAGTAAATTCCACTTGTATTTCATTTGTAAAACATACTCCAGTTATCTTTGTATTACTTGCAACTAAAAAAAAAAATAATTTTTTTACAGCATGTTAAAACCAATATGTAAACAAAATGTCCATAAAAAACTTTTATGGATACATGTTTTGTTCAGTGCAAAGATGTGCATAACAAATATGCATAATGCACAATAAATTAATAATATGATCATGTAGCATCTTAATTTTTTAAATCTAAAGCATCCTCCTCAGTGGCTACAACTTCATTTTCATTTCTACACTACAATTATTCTAAAAATATTTTGTGCATTTTACAACTTCAAAATGTTATGCTTAATTTAATGTGTTACTCGCTGTTTCTTTGTAAATATTTGTGAAATGTATTAGAAATTTTTGAGAGAAATTATTTTTTTTGTATTTTGATTTAATTTCACTGAAAGTGACAGTTTTATTCTCTTGAACACGTGGGATGGAAACTCTGCTTTATTTACAAACAGTTTTTTCCCCCCGTATTGACATTTGTTTTGCATACATTAGATTTGCAATTTATATTGTCATATTTTTTTAGCACAAGCATGCCTTCTGTCTTTATTCATGCCTCACTCACAAAACTATGTAAGTTTGCTAGCAGGCAATAAACAAAATTGTATTAAATACTATTTTTGTCATTTTTAAGTGTTCTTGTCAGTAGTTGTGATGAAATGATGGATAGCATTATTATTGCACTTACATCAAGACGCTCATATATAATCTTAAAGAACCGATTCAGGATCTCAAGCAGGATCTGATCTGGCTTTATGGTGAAAGTGCATGTACATTGCATTAAGCACCGCATGTGTGTGTGTGTGTTTGCATTGTTTTACATAAATCGTTTAGTGAATCGAGTGCTAAAACGACGCAGACAGTGCAAATAAACAGCGAGCGCATTTAGTTGGTGGTGAATTTCCCCCTCAGCGTCAGCCTTTTCATAATCTCCTTCATTCTGTTTTCTTTCCTATCTTTCTCCTCCCACTGTTTTTCATCTCTTTCAATCTATATTTTACCTCCTCACACACTAAACACATGGCTTATATTTATATACAGTGGTGTGAAAAAGTGTTGGTCCCCTTTCCTGATTTCTTATTTTTTTGCATGTTTGTCACACTTTAATGTTTCAGATCATCAAACTAATTTAAATATTAGTCAAAGATAACACAAGTAAACACAACATGCAGTTTTTAATCTTCACACAGAGCCATGTAGTTTTGGATTTTGTTTTCCCTTAATAATAAATACTTTCATTTAAAAACTGCATGTTGTGTTTACTTGTGTTATCTTTGACTAATATTTAAATTTGTTTGATGATCTGAAACATTAAAGTGTGACAAACATGCAAAAAAATAAGAAATCAGGAAGGGGGCCAACACTTTTTCACACCACTGTATGTATGCTCTACTTAATAGTGGAAGGATTACATCACTGTGTTTCTCTCTGCGTTATCATCTGGTCCTCCACTTGTGCCATCAAATGTTGCCTTCTAAATTGCTACCTGACAGAGCCAGGCGGAGCTCACAGTAGCCTAAAGATTCAAGTAAGCAACAGAAAGAAAATGAGAGAGCGAAACAGAGAGGCGGACAAAGCAAGATAGAATGATAGCGGCAAGAATGAAACCCTTTATTAGTCCTTGTCTCCTCCTCTTCCTCACCGGTCTAATTTGAATGTAATTAGCACATGCATTGGTAGGAGAAACAGCAATCTAAATGAGAGTGTTGCTCAATCCTGCTTCTTGATGGAGCCTGTATTCATTACTGTCGCAGACGCAAACAGCACTTTTCACAGTGAACACCAGCCTGATTGGCCTGGTCACG